ATCCTCGCGTATTTTATTCCGACTAGTGTTATCATAACTATAGTTAAATTATTGAACATTGTTGTACTGTTTTACAAACATTTTATTATTATTTTACGTGAGTGGATAAATTGTTTAGAAAAATAAAGTACTTAAACAGTTTAAAAATTATAGTGGAACAATTGTGATATTATTGTGAAGGATTAGGTAAAGGTTTATATTTTTAAAAAGATATATTGGATTGTTATCATATTATAAAGAAAGAAAAAGACAATTATTTAATGAAAAAATTTAAATGTAAAAATTTTTTGTTTTATAAAATAAACTTTTTACAAATTTTTAATAATTGTTATAATTTGTTGAAAAAATTCTTGATTTGTAAAATTTAGTGGCGTAACTAGGAGGAAACATAACCCCGCAAATCGGGGGGGGGGGGGGGGGAAGGGGCCCCGAGCTTAGGGTCCGCGGAGATTTACAAATTTTACTTATTAGAATAATATGACTGGTAATAATAGTCTGAGTGTTATTAATTTTTGTTTTATCAAATACATTTAATAAATTTATAATTTTTCACGTATCCCAACGATATTCAATCAGATCAGGTCGACCAAGGAAGACAACTGCAAGAGATGATAGACATCGTTAGAACATCGGTTGAAACGCCAAACATAAGTTCAATAGAACTTAAAAACGAATTAAATTTGGCAATTAGTCCTCAAACATTAAGAAGACGTCTCAATAATGTTGGATAATACGGTAGAGCGATGCGAAAAAAACCATTTATCTCTATAAATAAACGAAGAAGAGGCTGGCGTTTGCTAAAATGCATAAAGTTGTCGAAGTCTGGAAATCTGTAATTTGGACAGACAAATGCAAGTTTGAACCCCAATTGACAAACAGAAGAAGAACGGTCTTCAGAAAAAAGAATGAGGAGCCTTTAATCCAATATATGATACCTACAGTCAAGTATGGTCAGTGATTAGCACTCCCGCCGGATCCCTTGATGCGCCATTTACCTAACATAAGTTAAAAGTAAAGCCCATTTTAACACTCATTTTATATAAAAATTTATGTAAAAAAAAGAATATTTTTTTGACCACATTTTTATCATGAAATATATATATCGAGATTTTACGTCAAAACGTTTTATAGAACATCTATATACATATACATATATAACTATATATATGTATATAGATGTTAATACATATCTGATAATAAAAATAGGTTTGTAAAAATATCAAAAAGTTATATATTATCTTCTTTATTAACAAGTGTAATCCATTCACTTTAAAAAAGTTTTTAAGATGATTAGAAAAAATTAAGGAGAAATTAGGGAGAGCAGTCAAATTTCAATTAATCTTAAGGTTATTTAATAGGGTTGCCACCATTATTTAGGAAAAAAATTCACTGACTTTTTTTGCCAAAATTATGTATTCCTCCCTGATTTTTCCTGATTTTTTGTCAAAATTTTGCTTTTATCTCCTTGATTTTTCCCATTGAATTATGCTTATTTCCCCCTGATATTTTCTGCATTTAAATGCCTAAACTTAACATTTAAACTTCTGCAAAAACCCAAGAACATTTTTAACTTTAAAAAAATAAATACTATAATCCCCCAATGAGTAATGAACCAATCAATTTGCTTAAAAATTAAAATAAATAATCAAATGCTTCAATTAACATATGAAATTTTTCATTGAACCAGGATAAATATAAAGCAGATATGTTTAATAGGCATTGAAAACCTGTCAGACTTATCTAGGATACAAGATAATGAAATTCAAAAAAATGTAATGAATGTAATAAATTTCTAATTGTATGCTTTTCATACATCTTTTATTACTTTTTTGCTTTTCTTTAAGTCCCAATATTTTTTTATCTAAAAGCATTATCACGCTATTTTAATTTTTGCTCGGAATTTTTTATTTTCCTCCTAATAGTTTTTATATTGCGATGAGGCACTACAGACAGCATTTATCATTTCATTGTTTATTTCTATTTTGTAGGCCTTCAATTTGTTTGACACCATAAAATCCTTGATAGTGCGACGAGATATACGTGACATTCCTTTCATTTTTACACTGAGCATATTACTAGTAATACTGAAACCTCTCTCAATTGATGCTTGCCCGGGACATAATGTAAAAATAAATATCAAAACTTTTGACAAAACCTTATAATCTACACCAACTTTAATGGTTTCAAAATAAAACTTGTTTAACCAATTTCCAGTGTCAAAATATTTGAATAACAGTAAAAGAGTAGATGAACTTTCCTCTAACAACTTTAAAAAATGTATGAAAGCCTAATCACATTCCTTTGAAGTAATATGTGAGCAAGAAAAACTAGATGAGGTACAGATTTCATCTGGTGAAGACGATCAGCTTTTTGTTTAGAAAGATTTGATACTGGACTTTTATCATAGTTCATACCTTCTTTTTCATTATTTTAAGTAAATTCTTTGATGTGAGGTGACCTAGAAATTTAGAGTCAAAGTATCTGGACTCAACATGATTGAGATTCTTGTTCCAAAACTGAAAAATTAGATCTAGTTAGCCATTTTTTAAAGAATTGTTCAGGCTTTCATCAAGTGAAAGAGTATAATAAGGGTATTTTTTTATATATATTCAGTTAAATTCTGTAAATATAAGGCCCACTACCAAAATTATTTATATAACTGTTTTGATTCATTTAATTTATAAGATTTAACAATATTGCTATCAGGGAACATTTTCTAGTAGAGGAGAAATTATTCGGTATTGCATTTATATAACATTATAAAACATTAAAACAGAGTAAATTTCTGCACAAATTTTATCACATTATTCCTCTGTTTGAAGTGCTTGCTTTTTAAATGTAGAATGTGCAGGCAAAAACTTGTAGCCTACTTTAATATCTATCTTTAGATAGCAAGGTATGGGCATTTAGATAAGATTTGACAAAGCTATGACAATTTTAGTGAGAAAAAAAAAATGATTTTAAAACCAGTTTCATTATTAAATCCATAAATCGAAAACTCGCTACTAAAAACTTCATAACTTTTTATAAATTGTTTATTTTTAATATTTTTTTTTTATACCTATAAATACAGTATTGAAGGGTTTTTAAATATGACATACTAGTATATGCTCAATATAAAAAATCAGTCCACGTACCTATTATGACTTTCAAAGAAGAAAGATATTAAAATAATATTAAATAATATAGGCATAGTTTATATATATGCATTGATTTGTTAGTCAATAAATTTTGTTTAACTGTTTTGTTTCTTTTTCTCAGAACTTGAATGTTTTAAACTACCTAAGAATGTCGTCTGTAAACATCATATTTTGTAAATATTTATAAAAACTCATGGTAAGGTAACTGTGAATATCTTTAAACAGAAACACTCTTTCATTTGACATTTAAATAATGTTTTGTTAAAATTAAAGTTTATTATAATGAGGAGAGGAATGCAACAGACTTTGCAAGTCCAAATTTTAGTGTTGGGCGGTATGCGCAGGATTAAAGGAGACGATTTGCAACTAAACTTTGTTAAACCTTGACAAGAAGGAGCGAAAATTGATAGCAAACTGCAACCATAATTTTAAAAATTTTTAAATAAGGTTCTTTTGGCATAAGACCCGACCTCCTAAAGCTTCATTTTTTATGTGTTAAAAATTATGCGCTACTAATATGGAATCTGATGACGGATTACTAATTTTTCAGACCATTTACCGGTTTTATCTAACATCTTTCAATTATTTATTTTTACTTATATATAAATCTTTATTTAAAGTTGAATAGCATTACAAGTAATGAATTGTACAGTTTTGTCTGTCCTTTAAGGTTAATAGTTTTCCAAGAATGCAGGTTAAGAAACTTTTCAGTTTTGCATTGAAAAGGCAGTAGAGCTCGAATCGATTGTAGGGGAGAATCACACCTACCGATTTATGAAATAACCTGCATAAGCGTACCGCACACTGATCTCTATAATAACTGGATAGCGCATCTGCTAATAAAATTTTGAAATTTTCGAATTCAAAAGACGCCATATTGGAAAGCCCCAGAATTTATAAATGCGTAGTTGCGTTAAACTTATATGCGCTTCAAACACAGATTTCGCTTGATAAATAAAAAGTGCAAAATCCTTATAAATGCATTGATTATTAAAAACCGAGTAATTCTGATGTTATATGTTCAGATTATTTCATGGAGAGTGACATTATATATATATATATATACATATATATTTATATATATATATATATATATATATATATATATATATATGTATATATATATATACATGTATATATATATAAATTATTTATTAGAATGTATGATCATTGTATTAGGGTGTTATAACATCTTAACCACATCAACGGCCAACTCTAAGATCACCTTATTTTGTTTGGCGGTATTCTGGAATCAAGTTATGGCAATATTTTATGTATAAAATTTAACAATTACATTAAAAAAGTGCTTATTTTTGACAAAAACTTGTATTTTCTTAAGGGTTAAATGTTGTTTCAATACCCCCTCTGGCTCCCAAGATACACCCTACGACGCATAAAATAAAAAAATTATTAAATCTTTATTACAATAACTAAATGTTAACAAGTAAAAATTATATTTTATTACTATTCAACATATATTATTGATGTACACATTGACTTTAAATGAAGAAAGTCTAATGCACCACCTCTCCCAACCCCCACCCACCTGTAAGCTTCATATGTAAGATCTAAAAACAAATAAAATATTAATCTATTTGTAATTCATGCAATTAAAAATTATGAAATATAAAATAAATACTTACTAAGACAGTTTGTCTGAATAAATATAATGAATGATTAATGAATCAATAAAAACTTTTATAGAAGTTAATCAATATAACAATTTAAACACTTCTTTTGGTTCTCCTTTTATAGCACTTGGTAAAATAACAAAACACAAAAGTATTAAATAGATAATATAAATATGAAAAAAAAGACCTCAATAATCAATCCGAGACATTTCAAATTCATAAATTTACCATTTAAAGGTGGTGCAGATGGAACTAAAAGTAAAATTTGTTTTTAAATAAAAAATAAAAACTGGCAACAAATGCATTCATAGTCTAAAAAGTAATAATTTTTAAGCTTACTTGACGTAACAGCTGAAGATGTAACTATAAAAATAAATTTTTCATCAAAAACCAGTTGATAAGAAATGCAATTGAAAAAAAGAAAATCCAAAAAAGAGTATGCAGTTGATAAGAAATGCATACACATGTTAAAAGAAAAAAGTTTTTGAAACTTACCAGGCGTAGCACATGTAGAAATAACTAAAGGTAAAAAATATCTTTTAAAAATCAATATTACAATCAATGATAACTTTGTGCGCATTAAAAATAGTTGTTTAACTTACCAGGTGTAGCACAAGAGGTAGATACTAAAATTACAAAGTTGTAACAAAAAATTAATATTGCAAATAACAAGAAATGCATATACATATTAAATGTAATAGTTTATTAAATTACTAGTTGCAGCAGATGACTAATGAACTAAAGTTAAACATATTATAAAATTTGCACATTAAAAACTAGTAGTTTTTTAACTTACCAGGTGTAGCACAAGAGGTAGATACTAAAATTACAATGTTGTAACAAAAAATCAATTTTGCAAATAACGAGAAATGCATACACATATTAAATTTATTATTTTTTTAAATTACTAGTTGCAGCAGCTGACTAAGGAACTAAAGTTAAACATATTGTAAAGTTTGCAAATTAAAAATTATGAGTTATGTAACTTGCCAGGTGTAGTACATGAGGTTGATACTGAAATTAAAAACTTAATATTGCAGCAAATGGGAAATCCATACACGAAAAGTAATAAATAAATAAGAAATACATATTTATTTATATTTCTTTATTAGCTAATTAAAGTTATGCTAAAATAACTTACCGGCTGTAGTCTGTGCAAATTGGCCTAAAGATAACAAAAAAGTTATATAATCAAAAAAAAAAACATCTTGAAATTGTCAACAGTCAATAAAAATAACAGTTATCAAATCAGTTCTGCTTTACGTACAACAACCTTTGTAACCAAAAAACAAGCAATAAAAAAAAAAAAAATAAACCTAAATTATATTACTGTATTTTAAAATTATATTACTGTATTTTAAAATTATTAATATTAGAAAAACACTAACAAGATACTTTTATAAGAATAAACTTATTATTCTAAAAGTATCTTAATAATTTTACAAAAATAAGCTTATTAATAATAAGCTTATTCATATAAAAATATCAATAATAATAATAATATTTTAAAATATCAATAATAATATTATTCTGAAAATATCAATAAAATCATAATATTATTCTAAGAAAATAATAATGTTATTCTAAAAAGATCAATAATAATATTATTCTCAAAATATTTTGTCAAAAACTGAATTGGCTTCAACCAATAAAGTTTTACTTTAAAGTATAATAATGTCATTTGTATATTTTTATATATATGGTGTATTAACAACATTGGCATCTTATATATATGGTGTATTAACAACATTGGCATCTCATTTGTATATTTTTATATATATGGTGTATTAACAACATTGGCATCTGATACTATTAGTTAATAAATATTTCAAAGTAACGGTTTAATCTTAAACCCTAATCTTTTTTAATATATACTATCATTGGTATAACTTATACCAAAGATTAAGGTTTTTAAACTTATACAAAAGTTTAAAAACCTTAATCTTTGTTTACATATTACGATGATATGTAAACAAAGATTTTTAAACTTATAACTTTTTTAAAAAACAAAACAATGATAAGTTTAAAAACCTTAATCTTTGTTTACATGATGTAAACAAAGATTATAGTTTTTAAAACTTATAACTTTTTGTAAAAACAAAACAATAAGGATAAGTTTAAAAACCTTAATCTTTGTTTACATCATGCTGATGTAAACAAAGATTAAGGTTTTTAAATTTATCATTATTGTTTTGTTTTTTTAAAAAGATATTATTATCATGAAAATCAAATAAATTACTTTTTGAAGTCTTCTTTGGTATGACTTTTGCCACTTTTTATTTAATAAAATAATCTGATATTAAAAATTAAATACAATAATACAATGTAGAAAGAATTTTTTTGTTTATCATTCGCCACCCCCTATCCTCCCCGTATTTCTCTTACCGATAAAACAAAAACAAAAAAAACCGAATTTAGGTAACCAAAAGTCCTACACTTCTTATACGATCTGCTCCCTAATATTTTTGGCTGAAATTTGGCATGTGCAAAGAAAATGCATGCAAAAAAGTGACTGAATAACAAAAAAAGCGGAAACTTCATTCCTTCGATAACAACTTAATGTGAGAACATCAATGAAATTTTCATGAAAGTTTATAGCAAAACTAACCATAAAAAAGTTTAGTGGTTATACATTAAAGTGCTATAAAAATCAAGCCTAACCTTTCTTCTTTCCAAATATATTTTTTGTTTATATATGTTTTTAAAAAAAAACACTAAAAACGTTTGTCTAACCCTACTTCAAAAAAGCAGTATATTTAAAAAAGCACCTCGTTACATATCTGCTCCCTATTATTTTTCGTTGAAATTTGGCACATAAGTAGAAAATACATGTATAAAGGTGGCTGAACAATCAAAAAAGCGGAAACTTCATGCCTTCGACTACAAATTCATGTGAAAACATCAACCAAATATTCAGGAGCAAAATAATCCGTTAAATAGTTTAGTAACGATACATAAAAGTTTAAAAAAAATAAAGATCAGCTTCTCTTCTTTCCAAAAAGTATCTATGTATACATATGTTTCTAAAAAGAAACTCCACAAAACTACGTTTACCCACGCTGCCAAAAAAAAAGTGAAAATAGCGAGTCACAAAATTTTAGCACAAAAATCGGTTCCGTAAATGACGATATGCGCGTACATATATGTATATATATATATATATATATATATATATATATATATATATATATATATATAAAACTTCTTCAATATATCTTTCATGGTTAACGGTACCCTTTTCAAAAATAACTAATGGTGATATATCTTTTGACCAAACTCCTAACCAAACCATAACACGTTCAGGAAATTTTCTTCGCTGCTTGATTCCTCCGATGCTATCAGCTTCAACACGATTTGAAGCCCATATTCTGTCATTTTGAGAGTTATAAATACCATCAACATCAAAAATATTTTCGTCAGAAAAAAGGATTCGCATCGTATCAACTTTTCGATAATTGTTACTAATCCAATTTGCAAATTTAACTCTTTTTGGTTGGACAACTTTTTTGTAGGATCGAAGCTGAAGATCATCTTTAAGAACACGATAAACACTTGATTGAGAAATATCGAGTTCATTTGCCAATTTTTGTGTGGAATCGGCTTTTTTTTCCGTTTCAGCCGGTTTTTTTAGATTTTGGATAGTTGCTTTTGTTCGAGCTGTGCGAGGACAACCAGGTTTTGAAAGTTTGATTGTACCATCTTTGACAATCATTTTGCACCATCTTTTGATTATTGGTAAGCTATAAGTGCCTCAAATCACAAAAAAGTTTGGTTGGACCATCACCATTTTTTTCTTTAAAATTACAACGTTTTCCAAGTCTTGACTTTTCATTGTTACTGATTCACTTGCGTGCGCGCAGAAAGAAAATGAGAATGGTACGTTATTCAGCACAAAATTCTCTATTTTTTAAGACCATGTGCGGTTCATACTTTGTATTACAGAGGGTCCAAATTAATCAATACTAAAAAGTTATTAAAAAGTTATCATTTTTTATGAATCACCCGATTTATATATATATATATATATATATATATATATATATATATATATATATATATATATATATATATATATATATATATATATATATATATATATATATACATATATAAATTAATCAATACAAAAAGGTATCATCTGATTTCTGATGAGTCTTTATTGATGAGACACAGTGTTTAATGAAAAAAAAATTTTGCTAAGTGATTTTCTACTAGTTTGTAATTGCTCTGTCTTTTTAAGAACATTGAGCACTCTTTTTGTAGAATACATTTTATATTGTTTAAATATATATGTATATATATATATATATATATATATATATATATATATATATATATATATATATATATATATATATATATATATATAAATTATGTATACAGGATGGCCAGCCACTTTCAACAATTAAATTCTTTGACTTTTTATATTTTTCCCCGACTCAGTTATATTTTAAAGTGTGAATTTTTAAGTTTTGTTGTTTGGGAGTATATAAAAAAAAACCTTTAAAAAAAATTAAATTTTTGAAGAAGACATTTTTCCCTGACTAGAAAAAAATTCCCTGACTTTTCCATGAGTTCCAGTTGGCTGGCCACCCTAGTTTAATATTATTTTAATATCATGCAAGTGAACATTAGTATGCACCTTTTGATTCTTAATTGCCCTCTGCAAAATGCCTGAGACTTGTAACATATTTGCAAGGTAAACAGCTTACAAGTTTGCTGTATGAATCACTAGTTAGGCAATGTGATTGCAACACAACCTTAAGGTTCCTTAGGCAACATATAGCAAATCTTTATATTTACTTTTAATAATTTAGTTCTGGCGTGTGTGTATATATATATATATATATATATATATATATATATATATATATATATATATATATATATATATATATATATATATAGGTACGTGAGTAAAAATTTCAAATTATTTGAATACTATAATGTTATATATCATTAGAAAGAGGATTATTACAGTATTTTAAAGGTGAAAAATTATCAAAATCGAACAATTGGTTCAATAGTTATGACGGTTTAAGTACCGATTTTTCGATATTAGGATTTGTTGAAGAAACTGTGGTCAAAATAATGTTTTTCTTTACTTAAATTGTCATAACTTTGTCAATTCTTATCGAAAAACAAATATCTTAGTGTCAAAAGATAGGTGTAAGAGTGGGCTATAACTTTATGTTAAACTCTAACCACCGGGCGTTTCACACGGACAGAGGGGGTACCAAACCACCACCATCCCCGTACGAAACTGAACACTTTTTTCAGAAAAAAAGTTTTGTTTAAAGACATAATCAATATAAATATTAAAACAAATTGTTCTAAATTTATACTTAACCATTAAAATTCATGAGAGGTGTAGTTTAGCAATAGAGGTGGGTGTGGTGGTGGTGGTTTGATACACTCTAGTATCAAAAACGACTTGATTTTATATTTATGTCTTTACTGAAATGTGTAAAATTAGTATACAATATAAAATTATGTTATACATGATCTTACGTCTACAACTAGTGTTTCTATTACGGAAGGGCGTATGCCCCCCCCTTCCCCCCCGACCCAAAAAAAAAATATATACATTTACTGTTTTCAAAATTTGAATTATTAATTTTAAAATGAAATTATGAAATTGGAAATTAATAAAAAATAAATTCATATCAGACAACAATAGGGAAGATGAATGTAAAACTCATAGTAGATATGTTGATGATGTTATAAAGGGGAAAGAGGCATTGTAATGCCCCTTTCCCCTCTAACCTAATATTATTATTTAATTGGTTATATATTACTAAAAAAATTATACAACTACCATTGTGGGGCTCCAATTAAGTCAATTCGCTTTAAAAAACATGTAATCTTTATAACAAAGTATAGCAAATACCTATATTATTGTCTTTCATGTGATTCTCACATTAACAGAACCATACAGTATGGTTAACAAGCTAACCATTTTCTTTGGTTAATAAGCAAATTTCCTGTTTCAAAATAAACATTATTTATGAAAGTCACAACACTTGCAACATATTTTTGACAAGTCACAACACTTGCAGTGTTATTAAATTAATTAAATTGTAACTCGCTGGAAGCAACATCAGCAGCAAGCTGGATCTTTTTCATGCAATAGTCAACAGCTCCAATATCAGTTTCATCATCTTTCCAGTAAGAAATGGTGTAAATAAAGTTATTTTTTCTTTTATTAACTTTTTCTACTCTTTCGCTATATAAAACACTTTTGCATGTTTTTGGATTGTGCCATTCATGTTCTAGTTTCTTCTGAACAATTCTATCTGACATGA